ATATGTATATATATAGACATATATATATATATTAATATATATATATATATATATAATTTGTACGTGAATATGATTTTAAAGTGTTGATACACATATCTCATTTTCAACCACAAAGTCGGCTTACTTCTATTTTAGTTTAACTGCGTATGTTCGACCAACAAATGCCGCAACGGGGCACACATAAGCCCACTCACCTTTCCAATACTATACTGCAATTGCGGTCATGATATAACAATAAATTTTTGTCGATTGGATTAAATTATTCCCACTTCTCATCAATAGTTTGGTACATTCCCCTTTCCCTTTCTCTGTCCCTTGCTCTTGCGCCTGTGCAGCCTCCCCTACGCCGTCTGCGTCGCCAACAACCACGCCTTCGATGACAGGTGAGTTGTGACGTATGCACTCGAAAATGAATGAAAGTTCGCGCGTGCATATAGACTCGAACATGACTGGAAGTACATGTATGTATTTATACTTGAGAATCAATAGAGCTATACAGTCCTCGAGACTTAATAGAGGTCCATGCATGCATATAAACTTAAATAATCAATAGAGGTGTTTGCATGCATATATACTCAACAACCCATAAAACCTTACGCTTATATACTTGTACATGAATGTATACTTGAACATGAATAGACGTTTACGCATACCTGTGTCTGTGAGGTGTTGTGTTGGTGGTTGGTGGTTTTGTGATCTCAACGAGTCGCGTGGTAGTGAGTGAACGGTTTGGCATAGTTTTTTTTCTCTCTCGCAGAGTCAGTGTGGTAGTGGTGTGTACGGATGTATCAGCTTGTTCGTTCTGAATCTATTGGTGAAGAAGCCAACACCACACATCATCACTTGTGTCTACCCTGTATACTCCATTGGTACTGCGCCCCTTTTGACTTGTATCGAGGTCTCCCATCTATTGGTGAAGAAGCCAACACCACACATCATCACTTGTGTCTATCCTGTATACTTCATTGGTACTGCACCTAATAAGACTTGTATCGAAGTCTCCCACACGTGCACATACCATCGGTCTCGTCCTCGATGACTCCTCAGTACAGATTTGCCCCGTGTCTGGTCACGAATCCTTTGCCTGTGCTTGTACATACCTTTTAATTCATATGCTTCTCTTGTCTTATCACGAATCCATTGCCTGTGCTTGTACATACCTTTAATTCATGTGCTTCTCGTGTCTAATCACGAATTCATTGCCTGTGCTTGTACATACCTTTCAATTCATGTGCTTCTCGTGTCTAATCACGAATCCATTGCCTGTGCTTGTACATACCTTTTAATTCATGTGCTTTTACATACTCATACTTTGCATGTGCTTCTATATCGTCTGTGCATGCTCACATTCAGTCCACTGCCTTTGGCCTATACTATGTTTCTCCCTCTCTCAGCCACAAGCTCCACCTCACCAACACCGAGCCGAACGAGCTCGCCTTCACCCACCAGGTCATCCAGCCCGAGTGTCACCCCTTCGCTTCCTGGCCCAGGTACATGTGTGTGGTGAGTGTGGCTGTGGGGGTGTTAGCTGGGAGTATAGGTACGCTATAATACGTGTACATGAGGCTGTATACTGATTGGTGTTCTGCGGGTGAAATATGTGCACGTGTGTGTGCAGATTGAAGCATAGCTGTGTCATACTCAGCGAACCTTCGATTGTATGCTGATGGTCTGGTCTGGTGTTGTGGGGGTTGGTTCGGGTACGTGTGCATGTGTATTAAAACATACAAGTGCGTCATCGTAAGGACAGTATCGATAGCTGTTTATGCTGATAGTCTGGTGTTTTGGGGGTTGGTTCGGATGTGTGTGCATGTGTATTAAAACATACAAGTGCGTCATCGTAAGGACAGTATCGATAGCTGTTTATGCTGATAGTCTGGTGTTTTGGGGGTTGGTTCGGATGTGTGTGCATGTGTATTAAAACCTACA